ACAGGAGGATCACTATGAGTCTGAGCTGCATAGCAAGACTCTGTACCAAATAAATAAAAGATTTTTAATTTTGTTTTTAAAAAAGGAAAAGAAAAATCAAACAATAAGAAGGAAATGTTCCAAACAGAAAACTATATGAGGGCCGGCCAAATAGCTCAGAGGATTTAAGCACCTGCTTAGACAGATGCAGCAGGTGTGCCAGTTCCACCCCTGAGATTGGGCGTGGTGGCACATGCCGGTAATCCCAGCTCTTGGGAGGCTGAACACAGGAGGATCACTACAAGTCCAATCTATATAGTGAGACCCTATAGACCCTGTAGACCCTTACCAAAAAATACAAAAAAGAAAAAAAGAAAAAGAAAGAAAGAAAATCCTATGAAGCTATTATTCAGTTTTCCTGAAATTTGTGGCCATTAAAGAACATTACTATCTGGTTCTAGAGCAATCATTTGTGCTATTATTTATTTGTTTTTATAAAAGTCCATAATATTTACTGCTAGTATCTTATTGTATTCTCACAATAGCCATCCAGTAAATTAAACTTGCTTTTCATAAATCTAGAAATGAAACTTAGTTTGTACCATTAAAGAAATGGCACAACAGAGACTACCCACATCCTGTTAACATCACACACCCCATCCCACCCACTCATCAGTTTAGTATCAGGCTCTAACTCCAGACCATGTGGGAACTGAACTCTAGTCAAATCCACCTTTTGCTTGAAGTTCCCTAATAACGTCTACAGTGGAATTTCCTTCCCCATCCTATCCTTGAACAACCATTCTCCATTCAGGAGTCAGTGGATGTTCCAAAGCAAACTAGAACAGCACAGCAGAGAGGCTCTCTGAGAGCAGCCACTTGACCACACGCCTTTCTGTTCTGTTTCTCTAAAATGGTTACTTATTGATACTATAGCATTTCCTAAAAGGGCGTTGCAGGATACTTTGAGTGAAGAGATGCTCTTTCAAATGTCAGAGGCTTTGAATCTGGAGGAATCTAGAAAGAAGGCCTTAAAAATATAAATACTCTCATAATATAATTTCCACAACATAGATTGCTAAATACTAGATCA